TACAACGTCAACTTTGAGGACATTTGGGTATTTCGAGGACTATCCTCATAATTTTTTACACGGTTTGTAGATTTTCGGGACGCTTCTCATAAGACTTTGGTTTATTAATAATTGAACATAAAGCAACTTATTGCTAGGCAAGTAGGATTTGAGTACATTTTTTAAAAATGTTAATTGTTTTGCTTCATGACAAAAACATGCAGCGACAGAAACACGACACTGACGCTTCGATGTCCATTGTTTTACATGGACGTTACTCACTAAGTGTCCTTCTGCGAAACGTTAATACTTAATTTCATAAATTTGTTCGTCGCTGATTTTTGGTTAATATTATCCACAGTGTTTTAGTTTTTAACTGTGTTTTGGATAATATTTCTTGTAGCAAGGTTTGCTTTAATTTTGTTTACGGATGATGTTCTTTATATCTGTGATTCAATTGATGTCTCTTTGCGTGAAAACAGAAGTTCTGCAAAGTATGGTGATAAAAAAAAATATGCATGTCGTGTTTCAGCAATATCTCGTAAGTATACATATTTTATCTACAAAATAAACTTTCTGTCTCCAAATAACATTTTCAGTGGTAATTATTTAGAAAAGGTGGGGGTCTTGAATTTGTTGTAGAACTTTTTTCTGTACATATAATCGCCGCTCGGCTTCAGTTTTTGAGATTTTCGCAAAAAACTATTGCTATTATTGCAACGAATATTGGCTATAGCTACGTGTCTGTGGCAGCGTGTGTGTATGTGTTGAGTCGCCGGTTGTTTATGGTTTCTATAAAAACATCAAAGTGGTCGACAATGGACGCGTATAATAGGTGTGCTTAAAAACTCGATTTGAGTAGTCAGCCGCCTTGCGGTAGCTGAAATATGTAGAAAAGCTTAATCCGCACCTTACTCAAATGTAACTATTGTAACAAGTAACTAATTTAATGGATTAGGTTCGAGTTATGTTTTTTTACATCGGTCGCGGCAGAGCAATTGACTACTCAAATTAAGTTTTTCAGCACACCTGTTATACGCGTCCATTTACAATACTTATTGAAACCATAAACAATCGGCGACTCAACGCTTACACTCACGCTGCCACAGACACGTAGCTATAGACAGAATTCATTGTCGTAATAGCGATCTTTCTGAAGAAAAATCTCGGAAATTGAGGCCGTGCGGCAGTTATATGCATATGTATATCTACATATAGGAACAGTGGTAGATACCAATAATCCCGAGAGCTAGCCACTAATGGGCGGGGGGTATAATGGTTGGAATAACATTTGCAGGGTTTCATAGCAAGTGTCCAGCTGTAAGGATGTTAAATTAAAATTTTTGAAATTTTTGAAAAATTTCAAAAGTGTGTCAGATAAAAAATCTGAGTGAGTTAAACTATCTAAACCAGGGATGTTGCCCTAATGGACAGCTCGCATCAGTGAAAAAGTGGTTGGAAACGCGGATTTTAGCCCCTTTTTCCATCAAAGTCCGGTTTTACAACGGTTTTCAGATTTGAAGAGTACATTAGTTAGCTTTCGATGTTATTCCCCTTTAATTGAATACTGTTAATGTATATACTATCTGAATAGGTTTGGGGTGGTTTTTGGTGGAGCGGCAATATTGAATACTGTTAATATTCTCCAGGATAGAGGTCTTCCGTTTCGCAATTTTGGCTGTCGGGATTTTGAGGTGAACCCGTATAGAAAAAAGTTCAAAATGTTGATTTTAAGACATACATATTTAAAACATACATATTAAAAATCATCGAAATAGGTGAAACCCCCGTTTTCTAAATACTTACTTGTTTAGGTTTTAATAATGTGTTGGTATGATTATAGATGATGGTCATTTGTTGACTAACTTAAAAGAAACTTTAGAAGGCATTGATCGCTCTATCCATGTAAAATTTAATGACCCTGAAAAAAGAGTGGTGACATACTCAAAAGTCGACTCAGATGATGATAAAGATAAAGACTACCAATTATCTGACAATGATTCAGTGAACTCTAATAACATCTCGTCGAATGATGTGCAACCATTTAAAAAACTTCACATGCAATCAAAGTCACTTAATATTACACTAGGGCTTGATAAATATCAGAAGTCAGCTCCTGATGAAAGAGATCTTTGCGTAGACTCTTCTGCAATACTTGCTAAAAAACATTTTTGTATGTACTACAAAACGTTTCAGTTCAAATTAGCAAGACATTTACAAGCTATTCATTCCCAAGAAGATGAGGTAAAAAAGTTTATAGCTTTACTAGCAAAAAATAAAGAACGCCAAGAAATTATTGCTACAATTCGAAAAAATGGAGATCATATGTTTAATAGTGACAGACGATTTAACAACGGTAAATTGTTAGTCTGTTGACGACCCAAAGGAGCGTATGAAAAAAACTGCTGAAGATTTTTTATCGTGTGATAATTGTAAAGGACAGTATGCAAGGTCAGTAATACGTCACCATTGGCAGAAATGTACTAAGCGAAATGGAAAGCTAGAAAGAATTGTTTTAGTGAAAGGTCGAAAAGTGGCCGCGAGATTGCACGAAAAAGCCAGTGTAGATGTACGAAAATATGTATTTCTCTACATGCGAGAAGATGAAGTCGTGCGTGTAATTAAGTATGATGAACTTATTATACTGCACGCTAATAAACAATGCCAAAAATATGGAACTCATCAACATCATTATCAAATGATACGAGCTCGACTACGACTGCTTGGACGTTTCTTAAACAATATAAAAGAAATTGACAATCGAATAGAAACTTTCGCTGACCATTTTCCAGCCTCGTTTTTATGATGCGATTGACGCAGTACGGATTGTTGCTTGGTTTGATCAAAATAAACGTACTTTTGAACATTCTGCAGTCGCTTCCAACCTTGGTACATTGATAAAGCATGTTGGTGATTTGTTACAATAAGAATATATTAAAAAAAACTAGAATATGAACAAAAGAAAGTGGAAGACTTTTTAAAACTGCTTAGTGAAAATTATGGAATAAGTATTAATAGAGCGGTTGCTGAAACACAAACTCAAAATAATCGACGAAAAAGAGTGATACTTCCGATTACTGATGATATTAAAAAACTGGATTCATTTTTGAAAAGCAAGCGATCGCAGTATTTCCAAAAATTGCGTCAAGAATTTTCTTACAAAACATGGAAAAAACATGCTGAAATCACACTATTATCTTTGCAACTTTTTAATCGTCGTCGACCCGGAGAAATTGAACGTTTATATCTAGATGATTTTCGTAGTTATTGAGGTATCGATCAAATGGCGGAAAATGAAATATACAATGCCTTATCACAGGAAGGAAAAGCGTTAGCTCGAAAATATGTTCGTTTTGAAATTCGTGGAAAACTTGGTCGAGGAGTTCCTGTTTTAATACACGTCGATCTCTTAGATTGTTTGAATCTACTTATTGGTTACGTACAGAGACTTCACTCTGTTTCGTTATTTCCATCAAACCTCTCCTCCGTGACATTTGCCCTTTCGATCGGATGTGACCGCGGCTCTTCAGTAAAGTTTTACTAAGAAACTGAGGCGCGTCGCGGGATTGATTTCCACGAAAAATAGGAGCTAAGTGCCGCTACGCATCTCCGCGTACGGCAGCATAGATTTCATAAGAATCAACTCCCACTACCGCTTTTCTAACAAAATCTAGAGTATATAAACCAATGCGTTTTGCATCTCGGGGGCTCATTTCTTGAGGACACGTTGAAGTTACGTTGCCCTATATCTTAAACCCGCGAGGCAAGATCGGGAAGAATCTCCTTCGAACATAGTCTTGAAACGTTTTGGTAAATACTCGTTCTATTGTAAACATGACCTCCGCATTTCAACTCGGTCCATAAAGGACGATCGTACCGCGTTCGTTTCGTGGTTTTCGCGGTCGATAATTGATCTATTGCTTGGGCAGTAGGAGCGCGGTACGATCGTGTGAGAAACGCCTAAGCAGGGAAAGTGAGAGAATGGCAGATTTGCCTACCCGCCAGGCGCTTCTGCATGCCGACTCCGTCCGGCCGTCTTACTAATCTTTCAAATTTGCTCCGATTTAACAACGAAAGCGGGATTGAAAAAATCTGAATTTTTGGATACCTGTTAATAAAGCATTCGCGCATCCGATACCATGAACGGCGTTAACGTGGGGTTGGTCGTTCACCCTGCAGATGGGCCTGAAGTTGGGGGTGGATTTTCTTCCAAAGACGACATTTTCGAATTTTATTGCCATTCACGCGGGAAAAAGACATCAAAACTGTGCCTGCCTAATGCTCTGGACTATTAATCGACCCAGCGAAACAACGTTCTAACCCTTACACTTGGGAGTGGACCACCCCTTCCTCTGCCCCCCTCCCTTCAGCTCCGGGGCCAGTTTTCGAAACGGGACCTTTTCGGCATTCATCCTTAACGTATCGAGAACAAACATAGTGAATTTCATCGCTCTCTGATGCGTGGAAGTGTTTTTTTACGAAGGGGGTTGAAAATTTTCAAGCTGTCCCCCCCCCCCCCCAAGGGCGCCTATGGGGACCACGGTATGTGTGATGGCATTTTCTGGATCAGGGGAGTCCAGAGAATGCATTGAGTCCAAAATCGAGACCGTCGTCCAAAAATTGTGGATTTTAGAGGGGGTGGGAGGTTGTGGGTTTGGGGAGGGGGTGGGTTTGTTCGAGAGGGATTTCAAAGGGGTGCATTTTGTAGAAGGCATCAAGGAGAGTCGCCCCAAAGGTTTTTTTAAATTTTTCACCACCTTCCGTCGCCCCTGGACCTTTCTGAAGTGCCGTTTTTCTGCATTACCCCTTGGGGGGGGGGGGGTGAATTAACCCTTTATCATCAACCCTCGTCAATGCAACTTTGCACACACCCAGAGGACACTTCATGACTAAATCTCACGAAGTTTCCCGAAGATCGGTTGAAGACTCTCGGAGTTATTACGTTTTAAAATAGTGTCCCGTTTTTTTGTCGGCTAGTGTATATTTGCAACGAAAGATGCCGTATGGGAAGTTACGTAAAGATGCTGGTAAGTATAAAACATTAATTCCTAGAGAAGAAAAAGTAACAAAATTAAAAGTGTACAAGGCGTACAAAGAGAATGAAATACCAACAATTGAAATAATATTATAAAGGGTGCGATAAAAAAGAATCTCAATAACCGAAAAGTCACTACGAGGTCTTTTGTTAAAAGTTGGATTTAAATTTCGAAATGTAATGGAAAGATCCATAATAATAGATCATGAATAAATCGTACAACATATATCGCAATATTTAAAGCAAATTCCTGCGTAGAGACAGGAAGCAAGAACAATTTATTATTTAGATGAGACTTGGTACGACACACATGATACAGCAAAAAAAGGGTGGGTTGATAGAAGTGGAAGATGCGTTGCAAAAGTGCCCACAAATAAGGGGAAACGATTAATTATATTGCACTGCGGCAGTAAAGAAGGATGGGTACAAAATGGATTATATCTAGCTGGAAAAAGACTAGAATACTGTCATTTAGATTACCATAAAAATATGGATGCAAATGTATTCGCAAAATGGTTCAAAGACCATTTATTATCAAATATAAAACCTCGTAATATCATTGTTATGGATAATGAATCATATCACAGCAGACAAGAAGAGAAAATTCCAACAAAAGGGTCCTCAAAATCAACAATTCAGAAGTTTCTGATCGACAATAATTTATATTTCGAAGAAAATTATACAAAAGAAGAGCTTTTAGAAGTAATGAGAACGAAGACATGCAAGAAAAAATACGTAATTAACAGATTAGCCGAAGAACATGGGCTTATTATACTGAGATTACCAGCCCATTATTGTATATTTAACCCTATCGAAATGATATGGGCACAGCTGAAACAAAATATTAGGAGAAAAAATAGATACCCGAAATTTGATTGGAAAGTTATTGAATTAATACGAAATGAGGTAGATAGCGTTAATGAAATTAATTGGAAAAATGTTAAAAAAACAATTAAAATTGAAAATGAATATCGTGAGGAGATTGCAGAATGATAATTGGAAAATATTTGGATAACATTTAAGGGGTGAGGAAGCCATCTTGAACGAGGTGACTTTCTCCTGTAACAGAGAGCAGGCAACGGGACATATTTGAAGAAGAGGGACATATTGAGGTGGGGAAAAGTCTTTTTATAAATTACTGATTCAATCATGCTGCAATTTGTTAAAAGATACTCCCCAACCTAATATTATATACATACCATCCAAGGAAAAGGAAAATTCTGAAATAAAAAAATTGAATCTTCTTAAAAGGAAAGTATCAGAAAGTAAAAAGTAATATTTTTCGTCATTATTATTAGCTTAAAACATAAATATTTGGGTGAGTTTGATTAAACTAGACTACAACCTCTTCTCCCCCCAAAGTATGGGATTATAATTCGAAATTACACTCAAAAATTACTTTAAATTGTGGCTTATAAATAAAATCCAATACGTAGATTTGTGAAATTGAGATAAAAAATTTTTCACTTTTGCCCAGGATTTCGTCGAAATCCACCACTGTGCGACAATACCTATTAATCTACGCATCCCCTTTTATGTAATTGCACAATCGGTTTTCTGTCAGTATTTTTGTCACAAAAACGCTCTTTTAATTCTCTACCGATTGGCCTAACCCTAGACAGTAGAATTTTTAAGTGTTTTAACTTTTCTCTCAATTATTCAAGCATTCCACCTTCAAACAGAAAAATTTAACCATACATTCTGAAAGCGCAAAAGGGATCCTCAGTGGTTTTCTCACGCGTCGCGAAACTTAAATTGGAATTTCGTCCGCATTAAGATCGAAACGCAAGAAAGTTCCAAGGTTCTTTGAGTGGGGACAAACCGAGATGAAGTTTACCGTGGCCAAAATAGGTAATCGGTATAAGCAAACAAGAACTTTCCGCTCAACAGTAATGAAGCGTGGCCAGTTATTGAACGCATAGAAGACTTTTGTTTAGACTTCGTGGCTTCCGATTGTTCCGTCGAAGAACGATGATAACGCGGACCATGCTTGGTTGATTGCATTTTTTAAATGAAAACCCGCGGCCAGACGAAGCCTCCGAGTATTTTGATTGCTCCATAAAAATTTTAAATCACCCACCACCCATTGAACGGATCTCCTTGTTGTGACAATCGAAAAATTAACCATTCTTTGAGAATCTTTTTCGTAGTCTATAAAATAAAGAACGATTACAAGGTTTTTTCTGCTAATAATATTAATGAGAAATACAAGGATTTTTTTATGTATATTTATTTCACATAACAAACAATTGTGGATTGTCAATTTGGATTTGTACGTAATATTGTATAATAGTAGACATGTTACACTAACTAATCTTATTTTTTGTTTAGTTTTAATCATTTTGTTCACTGATATAGCCACGCGAACTTTGCCTTTCTTTACCCATTAAAAAATCAAAATATAGCTTTGACAATTAATGTCTATCAACAAGGGAAAAAGTGACAAAAAAAATAAACGGGCAAAATTTCATTCAATACTTCAATATGTCTACTACTATACAGGGTGTCCCCTTTAAGTTGAGACTGTAAAAAATCTCGAAGACATGATTTAAAAACAAAAATAAACTGACATATGTCCCTTAGTATTTCGAGTGGGGAGTTAGATGGCACTACTAGTTTTTTAATACGTGTGCGTTTTCAAGGTTATTTCAAGATCAGTTTGTCTTTTTTTTTATCAAAACCCATATTTTGTATTTCGGAATCGCGTTCTACGTATAACGATGCACAACTATTTTTTGAAATATTTATTTGCAAATTCAATATTTCTTAAGGCATTTAGTTGATTTTTCATGTTTATGCCATGGATAATTTTGTTTTTCTGTTCTAATTCTATTTCTAAAATGGCATCGTTATTTTCTATTAGAAGGTTTTCTATTTCATTTAAGAACATTATAATAAATGCTCGTAATTTTTACTCTCAAGTTCTAGACACTTTTTAGAGCATGTTTAGATCTGCAAGTAATCAGCTCTCGCGACAAATTGCTGCGAACGCATAGGAACTGTCACGAGCTCACTTGCAGTACTGTTTACATCGACTAGTTGCTGTCTGACAGTCTGTCAGACACTTATTGCAGAAGTTTTCTCGCGTGTGGAAACCCTGAACATGAAAAATGAGCTAAATACCTCAAGAAATATTGAATTTACACAAAAATCTTTGAAACAAAAGTTGTACATCTTTTTGCGTAGAATATAATTTCGAAATAAAAAATATGGGTTTGTGATTAAAAAAAACTAAGCCATAGAATTAAGGCATAGAATTCATTTCTATATCTAATCATTTTATAGAAATGTCTAAAACCTTTAGCAAGAAAAAGAAAAAAGAGTTCTTACTTAATAAATGAAAAGCAATTCACCAAATCATGTATTAATATCAACAAGCCCTTAAGAATGTCATGACATGTACATAATATTCTCTGCGTCGAATATATTCATTTACAGAGGTCGAACGATGTCTAAGAAACGCGTGGATATGTTGCTATTAGTGTCGCTTATTTTAATCAGAATGAAAATATTCTTGTCATAAACGTTATAAAGGGGAAGGGAGTGAAAAGACGCCTTCAAGTCTTTCGAGAATCGGAATGCAGACAAAGGGTGGCCTTTAGATTTCTACGGTCAAAGGAAGGCTGGTCCTTGTTCGGGATTATTGATTCGCAGGTATAGCGACAAATAGGTGGGGAAAAGCGGGAAAGTGTCGTATAGTTTTTCCGGAGACATCATTCTAACGAGAATGGGCGCGGTTGGGGTTGCGTTTCTACGCATCTTCCATCGATTCAACCCCCTAGCGCTCAGCCGACGACTTTGTCCTTGGCAGAATTCTTTACTTTTGGTCAATATTTGGTGAACTCTTCTTTTCGGATCGATTCAGTCGAGTCGATTGCCATGTTTTCAACTTTCTTAGCTTTAAATTCCTCAGCACTAAAAAAAATCATAATTTATTCATCAATTAATCAAACATTATTAATAATATTAATATTTTTTAATATTAATCTATTTATGTTATATTTTACTATATATACAGGGTGTCCCAAAAGTCGGGGAGGAGCCGGAAATGGGGGGTA